GCCCCTGTGGGAGCTGGATCTCTCCAGCCAGTGCCTCAGTGTCTAAACACCACCCTGGGCCGCCGGGAGCCTCCGGAGCTCATGTGGCAGGAGGACATTCAGCAGCCCATTGCCTCGGAAACACTCCCTGCCTGCACTGAGCCGTGCCCGGGGATGCTGCAGAGCTTGGTGAGYGATGGGTTTGCATTCATACAGCGCCTTTTGCCACAGGGATCTCCGCTAATGCTGCAAATGTCACACACTTGTGTGGAGGCGACACACATCAGTCACGTCACCCCACCTCCGCAACACTTCAGGTCSTCTGAGACAGAATCACCCGGGGAATGGAGGAGAAGAGGCAGATGCGATTACCCCGGAGTTTAGTCAAATGTGGGCWAAACCTCTGCTCTTGTGAAGCTGCCCAGAAAGTTTTGACTGTCACACATGTTCAGGACATTCCTATCTCATCTGAAAGAAATCAGACAGGACCAGGTATTGCATTTCTCTCCAGAAAAGCAGAGATCACGCTAAGTCTTCAGAAATTACCAGATTTCAGCTGATGTTGGGATGTATTTCTATGCAGGTAAGCCCTTGGTAAATCCAGCACTGACAGGTAAGATCTTGGCATCAGCCACTATCACAGATGTGTCCCACAAAATATATGCAGCTATTCCTGCCCAGACAAATGTGACAATCAGATCCCTGACCCAGTAAATGCTGTGACCAAGAGGGGTTTCTAATAAAGGCCTGGGGATCACAGCCTGTACAGTAGGGACAGCTTTGCTGGATTAGAATCCTGATTAATGGCCTCAAGGGAGATTAGAAATTGCTATTTTGAGAGGGGGTTTTCATASCAGGCTCTGCGTAATCGCCAGCGGGACAGCCTCACCCCATGCTGGCTGTTTTCTGGGGGAGCCGACACTCCTGGGAGCCCTGGGAGGCCAGGCCAGGGAGAAACATTTGTCTCTGCTAATAGCCGTGTTTATGTTTGTTGCAGAGCTCATCGCTGGCTGACCACGGCAATTACACGGGGGAGGCATATTTACATGTTTTAACTCTGAAACAGTGAGCAAACAAGGCAGCATAATCATTAACTTCAGGAGCTGTTAACCTTCAGYGTGAGTTTTGGCCAGTAAAGGAGAGATCTGTCAGAGCAAGGTCTCTATTTTAGTAAACATTGAAAGAATGACGTGAGAAAGYTTTTGTTTTTGTATATTACGAATAGGTAATTAAAGGGCATTAATTTGTGTCTCTAGCCTCTACGCTGTGAGAAACTTCATTGCAGAAGAGAGGGATAAAGGGGAGAAAAAAGCACTGTTAAAAAATATTTCCATTGGTTTCATCAGCTTGGAAGCAGGAACAGGGTCAGTAAAGCATAGCATTGCTGGAAGGCTGTGGGTCTGCAGCCCATACATGCTCTTTTGCTGTTGATTATCATGCCAAAGAAATTGTATTTAAACCTAAAACTTGCTGCAGGAGCTTAATCAGTAAAGCAGCGATAGTTTAGGAGCAAAGAGCAGCACCTTGTCCTCTGCCCTTGAGGTTGAGGGACTGGCCTTGCTGGCTCCCAGCACATGCAGCCAGGCAGGGTGGGAGCACGGTGGCTCCCTCGGGTTGGTTCGGCACTGCATCAAACATCGTGAAATATCTGTCTCATGCCTGACCACAAATCGTTATTGCTGCCCCTTGGGTAACCCGTTCTGTGGGGGAAAGAAGAGCAACACACAAAAAAACCAAAATTCTGCAGACTTTGGATTGTTATGGGTATCATAAAAAAGTGGGGAATTGAGGAAGGAGGAAGATAAAAGAGGAAGAAAGGAAGGGAAGATAATTTAAGTGGACAAGCAGAAGCAGATTTTCAATCTTATCAGTTATACTTGGTAACAAAGTGGAGCATGCCAGCCAGTCAATAGTGCTTGTTTGACCATCGGTGGGAAACAGATGACGAATTCATCTGTAAGGAGATTAGGGCCAGAAGGAGCTCCTGGCGCAGCAGCTGCAGGGAGCTGTGGGTGCCAGCCCCGCCTGACCTCGGGCAGTGCACAGGAGGCTCCGCTCGCTGCCCAGCACAGCCTGTTCGGGCAGGGCCAYCTCCTTCTCCGCAGGGCACACAAAAAGCACTGTCATTTGCCACTTCACACAAGGCATGGCGAGGGATAGTTTTGGGAGGGACCTCAAGTGTCAGCGAATGTCACCTTTTCCCACGGATTTGCACTTGCGCTTGTTGTGCAGGGCAGGCTGTCAGAGCCCCAGCGATTGAGCTGTTTCCCACGCAGAGCCACCCTCGCAGCACTCAGCGCTGGGTCCTCACCCTCCTGTCCCAGTGCCCCACATACCTTCCACACTCGGGCTTTATGGCGCTCAGCACGTGCCCCTCTAAGTGGTTTCACAGTGTTCAGCCGTCCCAGGCTCACTGCGATAACATCAGCAGGTTTTCCCCTGCGCATGGCACAGAATCTATTAATATTTGTTTAGGAAATATATTTGTTTAGGAAAGCCCCCCCAGTCCTCAAAAGCACGTGTTTTACAGCTTCAACCCAGCCCCAAGATGTAGCAATTTCCCCCGGGCCCAATTGCAAAACAAGCTGCTCTGGTCCTTGGCAGCCCTGCTCCCTGTCACAAGATTCCGGACTTCTAGTGGGCTTTTAAAGAAAGTTTTGGAAAAAAAGTTTGTTTGCACAGGCAATGCACAGAGCTCCTGCAGTTGGGGTTTGTTTTTTTTTCTTTTTACTGTTGCACCTCTGTGGGAGTGGTTTTATATGATCCTGTACTGAAACATTTTGAATAATCTTTGCTGCAGAATAAAGCTTTTTTGATTTCGCTTTAAAATGGACAAATMCCTCTACTTATAATTCAGCCATAGCTATTAATGCCACTCAACCAACAGCTAAAAAATCCCAAAACTTTACTATAATCAGGCTGTTTAATTCACTGGAGTTTTAACTCTAAAACATTTAAAAYRTAAGAAAAACATTYCAGACACTCARTACAGCATTGCTGTTCTGTCGTCAGCTCCAGGTCCCAAACTGGAAGGTTCTGCTTATATTGTAGAACTAATTTAACTTCTATCAGATRTTAAATAGGGCAGATGATCATAGCTAATCATATCATAAAGCTGTTCTGAAAATTAAATAACATTCACAACCTTTCCTGCAGATACAGGGAGAGCCATGATATTCCATGCCATAATGGACTCTGCATACATTACATGTTTTAAGGTCAGGATGCAAACCCTTTATTTTGAATAAAGGGTTAGTTTGTCCCTGCCATTGTTTTTGCTTGAACTAGAAATCACTTAAGTCTGTTTGGGCAAGAAAGCAAGCTAAGCTATGCTTACTATTAAAATACAGAAATCAGATGATGAAAAATCTACCCATTAATTCATTAAACACYGGAAAACCTGTATTGTCTGCTTTCTAGAGTGATCTTCACTAAGTAAAATCTTCAGGCCTTCAGGTTTATGCATGACATCAGCAAAGATTAAACTGCTACCAGGATCAGAGCACCTCAGCTCCTCAGCTCAAATCTTATTCAGCAGTATAGAAATGAATGAGCCAAACCCTGAGAACAGCTCAGCCTCTACTAGAGGAGAAACAGTTAATGCCCATCAGTTCCATGGCTCAGCAGAGCAGCTTCACAGCCAGGAAATGCTTTGTCCAGCCCCAGTTAATCCCCAGCTGCTGTGCCTGCTGGAGGTGAGAGCCAGCAGCAGTGCAGGTGCTCGGTACTGCTCAGACCCATCTGGGRCASAGCCAAGGGCAGGGAGCAGAGCAAGAGACAAAAGTGGAAAGAGCCTCACGTGGGCAGTGACCCAGCTGGAGCCCTGTGCAGAGGATAAGCTCAGCTCTAGCTGTTTCTGTTTGCCTTTTGGGCTACCTGGACTCTGTCAGTGCAGATCTGCTGCTGTCCTAAAGTCTCAACTACAGCACTTCAGGCATGGGGGAGAACCCTAAACCACCACTGCCTGGTTATTTACATTTAACAGGGGCAAAATGACATCTAAGGGAAGGTTCTCAAGGTTTAGATGAGGCACCTGCCCATCCCTGTCTATCTGGAAGCCAGATACCCTGGTGTTTTCCAGCTGGTAAGACAAAACACTGGAGTTCACATTTCCAAAATTAYTCTGGTAACCCAATTGCTGACAGTTGGGGTTTTTATAGTCACTTTGATACACCCAAATGTAATGGGATGTTACTATGAACATCTCAAATCTGAGATAATTGAAGTAATAAAGATTCAAATAACTATATCCTGCCAAAAATTAGGTTTTAACCATGAAGACCATACATCTCCCATAAAATGCCATTTTAGCCCTCAGGTTTGGGTTTGGTTTTTTTTTCATATCTGTAAAGATCCTTATTTTGTGCCCTTAAGACAGCACTTGAATAAGAGAAAGGGTRGCTGGCTAGCTTCCATTTTCTCAAGATGGGAAGATGTTTGATCTTGCATGAAGAACATCCCTATCCCTTTGTGAGATGAAATGATGGATTATTGAAGATGCTGTGTAAGTGTGCACTGAATGACTTCATTCTGAGCCTCAGGCAGCCCAGAGGGATCATATCACTGACAAGACCAATAATCTGATCAGAAGAGCTACAGGAGTTCCTCCCAGCTAAAGCAGAATGAACAGAGGGAGTGCTGTGCTCATTGTGCTACTCAGGTCTACAGCTGACCAAACTAACACAACAAAAAGCACAGCCACACTTCTTCAATTCCTCTCAAAATTCRTTTTGGGGTGTGCACAGACTGACTTTCATTCTGCAGAGGTCTCTTTTGAGCATTTAGCTAAAAACAGGCAAAAGCCCCAACAATAGCAACACAGATTTCTGGATTTTGGAAAGATTGGTGAAAGGAAGAAAACCCAAACACTTTGCGGCAGTTGCAAAACCACATAAAAATCAGATTTAGCCCATTTACATGTTTTAAAGAGCAGCAAGAGCACTATCTCTTCTCTCTGGCCCTATCAGAGGAGAAAGCCCGAGAACTCAGTTAGCAAGGAAAGACAGCACAAAACCAACAGGTAACCCAACAAAACAATTGAAAGCTTTTATTGTGATACCTCAAGTAGATACAATATAGTGAAACAACAAATGATGTACAGTATTGCTAGGACAAAACAGCAACACAGCCATGTCACCTGTAAAAGAAAGCGTTTTAAAGAGTTTAAGAAACAATGAGGCACAACTCAACTGCCATTTATGACTCATGCTTTAGACCTTAAACCACTTGTAACAGTCCTTTYAAAAGAAACCTCTGAAGCATCTGTTCCTTTTCCAGTAAGTGTTTATACTGCTGGTTGGCTTAACATGAGTCTCAGTGAAGTCCAAGAAAGTGTCCAAGAAGTTTAACAAGAATTTGACAGCCTTTCCTCTCATGGCCAATATCCAAGGCTGGAGATGACTGAAGTTTGCTCTGTGAGCCTGGAGGTCACTGCTGCTGTAATCTGGCTGCTGAGATGAGCGTCCCTCGGAGGGAAGTGCACGGCCAAACCTGCTACTCAGCCTTGGGGAACTCTTGCACTGATGCACCAGTGGGAAAGACAGGTGACCTTTGGTTATGGGYGCAGTGGGGACTCTGTCAGAACCTGTGAGGCCAGTTTGTAACTCCAATGTCATAACCCACATTCCCTCTCCTCTCCCATGGACTGCAAGGACCCAGGCACATCACCCACACTGCTCATTATGCTGGGCCTTGCTAATGGAGAATGTTATAGCTCCATCTTCAATCTCCTTTCACACACTTTGCCATTGTACAGGTTACAACCAGCAAGGGAAGTTCATATCCTGGCCCTTTTAACTGGTAGATAAAATTAAGATTACCAGGCTGCTAAAAGCATACAGCAGGAGTGGTTAGGTTGAGGAGTCATTAATCCCTCACCAAATTCCACAGCTGATTTCACAGCAAGTTTGCAATGTGGCAGAATTTTTATAAATGGCAGCATTGCCTTTTAGTAATCAAAAAGGTACTTAAAGTAGCCAGCCAAAGAAGAAGTCTAGGGTTTGGAGGCAGACAGTCCTGGAACACCACTGTTACAACCATTATTTTGGACCTAGACAGAGAACGTGTGGTCAATTACTGAAGTCACACCAAATTATGATTAATTACTTTAGGACAGGTGTGGCTTTAGAGGTTCAGTGGAAAAAAAAAACCTTTCAATACATGTACATTTTTGCTAGCAAATTCCTATGCATCCCAATGAACGTTTCTTCTAAGCCAGCTCAYAGTCAGTTCATTTGGTCCAAGAAAGAGCCAGCAAGAAACAAAGGTTCACAAAAGCTTTTTGTTACAGTTTATAAAAAACAAAATACAAAATAAATGTTAAGACCAACAATAAAAATAACCAGTACAAGTAACAAAAGTGCTCAAGTTGGAGGGGAAGTAAACTTGCCCAGAGCAAACACATACAAACTTTAAATATAATCTTTAATATATTACAAAAATTGGTTAGAGGGAAAAATGCTTTAGTAAAATTTTTTTTTCAAGTAAGTTTATTTTTCTTCCAAATGACTGCTGGAGGGTTCAGTGACCAGACTGACCTCTTCACATCAGCCAGCAATCATTGCTATCTGGATTCAACTTTCACCAAAACCAGTATCAAGAAYTCTCTATATCTTTATGAGGGGAGAAAATAATCATTGATGCTGCCAAACAAGATAGGAAAAAAATTCACATATTCCCTCAATAGAATGAGCCTCAAGAATTGTTACATGGCAGCATAAAATAGTGATTCTGTATTAGTTCTACTCTTTACTCCTTCTAAGCATCCATTCTTATTAGAAGACCAAAAAGAATATTGCTTTGTTTGGTTCTCTTAAAAGCCATAAAACATCATATATAGATCATTAACTCTTTATGCCAGTAGTCTGAAGCTCTATGTGCTAAGCACTTGAAGTCCCAACCTTTGGCATCAAAGTTAATTAAGGTTTTGGTGAAAATGTCCAGTTTGAAATATAAATAATGCACTGAAAAAAGAGGTTGAATTTCTAAGTAATAATCAGACTGTGTTACAGACAGCATTAGCTTACTAACAACAGATAGCCTAACTCCCAATTTTGGAGAGAAAAACCTTTAATACTTTACATATTTTCTTGAATTTCAACTCTCTCTGGAAAAGCAGCCATTACTTTCACCTTYAGTCCAGTGTATTGCCTCAGCAAGTCTGCAGCCAGGAAATAAGAAAAGCCCAAAGATACACAAACCTCACACAAGTTGTTCACAAGAATCAACATTGCAACAGGACTTAGAAGCCAACACAAACTTTTTGCTGACAGAAGTTTTAGTGCCTTCCTTGTTGGCAACATACATTGCAAAGGTGGAATACAACATCCAAGAATTCCAGGCCAAAAAGATCACGAGGACAGGCAACACCAAAGCCCATATTGCATCAATGRCATTGTTAAAAATGAGACCTGATGTGAACACGAATTAGCAACGTGTAAGCCACAAAATCCAGGTTGAACATGACGGTACCTCAGGCCTCTGGACTGAAACCCAACAGCTTGAACTACTTCTCACATTTTTAATTCATGGGTATCAATCACGACAACATCTGGCAGGCAGTTTAGCTGGCCTGCATCACAGAGAATGTGAACACCCAGGAGAATGCTCTTCTCACTCCTCTCCACAAAAACACTGGAAAGCTGGTTTTAAAGAATTGTATTGCCCCTACCCATTGGCATAATTTTTCATGTCTGACAATTTCTAAAGTGCAGCAGAGTTCAGAAAGCCTATGAGAGATTCCCAAAAACTTAACAGCAGCAGCAGCACCTGTGACTAATTTCACAAGTGCCATATTAGAATTGTTATTGAGAGAAAAGGATTTCATATTGCAAGGCTTCTGTATTGTTCAGTTATGGGACTTACGTAGTGTTAAAGGGTTTTTTTTTCCCCAAACATTTTGTCCTCAAACATTAAAAGGATTAACATACAAAAAGTCTTTAGAGACTGTTTAATTTGAAAATTAAGTTAGCAAATTTATGTAGAGCATTTCTTTCACAGTTGCTCAGTTTGCATACACAGATACCAACAGCCCATATTGTGCATACACTTTCCAGAAGTTTCTCTCATTAACTGATTCCATTAAAGAAACAGCATGAGAACAAAAGAGAAGGTGAGTTTCATATAAATTTTTATTATAAAAAGGTACTTGGGGATGATTTAGCCAGCAAACCAGGAAACCCTTTCCCCACCCCCAAATTTTAAAAACTATCTTGCTATTTTATTTTATGAAAAAACAAGTCAAACTTCCCTTCCCTCTYATTACTCCTTTTCCTACAGGTACTATATTAATTTTCATGTCATAGGCTCTGGCCATTTCTCACAAAAATAAATATTTTTGTTCAAATGTAGCAGAAGCAGAAGACTTCAACAAGTTTCCTTGACATCAACCTCTTTGTCCAGTGCATTAGGACTAYACAGTTACATGGAACCAGCCATAAAACTTTACTGATGCACAAGTCCCTGTTACTGGCAAAGGTACAGTACCAAAACTTTGTTTTTTTCCTAATATACCAACTAATGTTTTGTTTTTTGTTTTTGTTTTTTTTTTTTCAAAATAGAAGATGTATATATTTTTCTGTCTTTCTAATCTTGCAAGCTCTAGTTTTATAAATTTGTTTATCCAGCAAACTCCTTAGGGAATATGTTGGTCTTAAAGAAACATATTCTATAGCATTATTGATTTAAAATCTTTCTATGTTATTACATGAAGATACCAAACCCCTGCCATAACCTTTCCAAACTTGAGACCTGCTAACTTCAGTCAGTGCAATTGGAATATYTTTTTGAAGTGAGCACTGTACCTTTAACCAATTCACCTACAAGATGTACATAGGTTGTGGTACACTCAAATTTTAAAAAGAAATTAATAACTACAATACTGCATCCTCTTCACTGCCAAACACATCAGAAATTGCTACATATAAAAAAGCACCCCATCCCATACATTCTTTCAGACTGCTCAGGTACAGAACTTCTACAGGACTGGAGTGTAGGTGTTTAGGCAAGAAGCATGCACAGCAGAAGTAGCATTAAAGGCATAGGTCAGAGAGAGATGCTAACCAGTAAAATCCGTTTTCAATTAGTGAACTGTTTCTCTAGTCTGAGAGAGTTTAGAAAAAGGTCATCCAAAATGTTCCAAAACAACTGTTCACACAATAATACACGTACAAAAAGAGGGAACTTACACAAGGAGAAAAGGCAAACATGGCCTGAAATAGCCACTTACACTACACTACTCATTTGTGAGGTTTCAGAGTTCAGTGATATTCTCAGGGCCATTCTAGCCAAGCTCTTCCTTTACTTYGCGTTAGTCTTTGTAAAGCCTGTTCCACAGAATATAGTCCAAACAGAAGGAAAAAGGTTGAGGCTCACTCCCAGCCATTGTCCTTTATCATGTGGGCAAGTTCAATGATAAATTTTCCTTCTTTGTATTTCTGACTGCTCTCAAAAGCATGTTCCTGGAAAGGAAAAAAGTATAATCAAGACAACACTGAATTAAGTTGGGGAAATTAAGTATTTTAAACATCAAACTTGCATTAAAAATAYAAACCAGGAGACATTACAGTTAACAAGCCACACTGGTTACACCAAGTAAGGCAAGGAGGGAGGAAAGAGGTTGAAAAGCTGAAAGGAAAGGAAAATTGAAAAGGAAACAGAAGCAAACTTCTCCTAARTGGAATCAGCAGATMTACTGCACAKATCCTGCTGTAGAACTGCCCATGTTCCCTCACTGCTTAGGGAATTTTAATKCTTTTTAAAGTGAAGGTTAGGAAATGGCATGTTATCTGTTATTTCCTTATTCCCAGAAGTAATGATAAGAGGGAAYGCAAACTTCTTCCAATGCTCTCCTCTATATTCATGATCACAGGGAATGCCTTATGAAAACTTATAAGATCTCACCCTGATTCAGTGAACAYCCAGAATCTGACATTTTCAAAACATCAAACTTGCAACACAGCTGCAARTGCACAGGCAAATTTTCAAACAACAGAATCCAGTCCAGATTATTTGTACAGAGTGCTCAGTACTACCACTGATTGTAATTCATATTTTTGCTATGTAACATAACCAACTTTTGCAAGACATTGCAGACTCGCTTTGACAATTWCTCCCACCTGGTTTAGTGCATGTGTGCTTGTTAATCTTGCAAAAAGGTACTACAGAAATATCAGACAGCTGTAATAGCACCTATAGCTCATGCTTGATGTGCATGAATAAAATCCACAATAAAGTTATTATCTGCTACAGCATTTCTGCAGATGCAAGGAAGCAAGACTGTGTGTCTGATGTATACAAAAGCACCAGAGCTAACTCACCTAAACTATCAGAAAGRTGCTACTCAAACATCTGTGCTTCAACATACATACATTTAATGAGTATTTCAATGTGTTACTTACATATTTCCATCCAAGAGTGGTTTTACAGTTTTCACAATAGATATCTGCTACAGCATGTAAACCTGTCAGAAGAACTCTCTCCTCTGCTGGACCACAGCCCACATTTACCCTGAAAAACAGGAGAAATTACATTAARAAAAGAAATGCACTCAGGTTGCTAATGTTCCCCACCTTTTCTCCAGTGGATAAAAAAGTTAAAAAAAGGTGCCTAACTTATTCAATGSTGCAAAAATAACTTCCTCTGTTACACTGAGCAGGACAGGAAGAAAAAAGGGGTTGTCTTTTGTTTTTCAAGTGGCTGTGGTGTCACTGTGTGTGATACCCACTTACTCCCAGCAACAAAGACAAGCTAAATAGTTAAACTTCCAGAGAACAGAACACTAAGCAGTAACTGGACACTTCTACAGTTTCAGGCTTTTCTTCAAAAACAATTTGAGACCTCTGTAATGGAAGTCTGTACCAGTGAATCAGCACCAACAGCTGAATTTAGAGCCAGCTCCAAAATAGCAGCAAGAAAAAAGCCTCATAAATATTTCTTTGCTACAGATCAGCAGACTAAGCTGTGATGAACAAACAGCAATTTCAAAACAAAACATCCCATGAAGTACGGGATCCCAAGAAGCTGCATCAAGCTAGTTTTTTCCACAAATGAGTCTATGCAGAACACACGAGGCAAGACCAAACCAAGTTTTTAGACAGTTTTAAACAAGAGCAAATTTTTGCCAGGTTTGCCGGTGCATTAGCAGATTCTTACTATTAGAATTGTAACAGAAGTCCCAAGTGACACTGAACGACTACATACTAAAAATTTCAACGATCTGCAATCAAGTCATTTGCAGTTACAGTTCCATTATCCTGGTCAAAAATAGACCAGGACACTCAACTACATCTTTTTCAAAATGCTGCAAAACAAAAAACTCCTGAAAAATAAAGACAAAAATGCAATCCTGCATACTAAAGACACCCATAAACAAATGCAAAGAGCCTTCTATCAAGAGAGGGACGTGCCTAATACTGCAAATATTGGGCTTGATAAGATCACAGGGACCTTTTGCCTCTAGCACATTTGCAATATTCAAGGTCATTTAAGATGTACCAAGTTTACTGAAACATTAACCTGTAAATGTATCCAACTATCACACTGGGAAATTCTTTAGACCACAGCAGAGTTGTCTAAAGCAGATTTACGGTCACTCAATATATTGTGACTTCTGGAACATCTCAGAATGGCAGCTCCTACTYGAGAGTTACATTACATACACAAAAGGAATTTCACATTAACACACTCCGTAATCTTTCAGCTCTTAGCAGAATTACTTAAAACTCATAAGATAAACTCATATATGTGCAAAGGAATGCTTCAGAAKCAGCCCAGTAGCTCTTTAATAACTCTTGCTGGTGAGTAAAGCCAGCATTAAAAAGAGCAGGGCAAAGTACAGCTACGTTAATTCCTACTGTTTTCCACTTGGGAAACATAAAGTTACACTCTGCAGGTGGTGTGCAGAACCATAACCATGTACTTACACAGAATTGAAGAGGTAGGCTCGTCCCTGGCTTCCCTGGAAGGACTGCATTTAAAAAAAAAAAAAAAGAAAAAAATTGCACTTGTTAAAAAACACAAGAAGCCCCACCAAACAAAAAAAAACAGTTCCAGAAGGATTTGTTAGTAAACATAGAATGATAACACAGCTATAAACTATTTCAGGTCAATTATTATATTGGAAATAATTCTTTATAGGAAAGCCTGGCCAGCCAAGGTTTCACTCACATTCGATTTTTAGCAATGATTTTATTTTACTTTGTCAAGTGCTATTGCTCAAAATCAGACATCCATAACGCAAGCAAAACCTTTTTCCTACCCTCTGCAAGMTATCAATTCTCATTTTCCTACGCATCCTTCATGCTAATTGAAATAATCTGCTTTTAACTCAAAGGGAATTACTCCCATCTCCTCTGTCTTCCCCTGCTGCAGCCAAAAGATGATTTATTTCAATTTCATTGCATCATTTGATACAACAGCAGTGAAATTCTGGACCAAGCATAAAATCGGCATAYTGTACTCAGGAAATGCATCTGATCAGTTTATAATTCACAGATAAACTCAGYTTCACTTTAGTAACACAACTATTATCATCAAATTCCTGAGCACAGGCAGATGCTTTCAAATCTCTCACGTTCCTGATGTATTATGGACAAATAATGACTGTTAGACTTTCYTGGCTGAACCAAAATGAATGTTTTAGTTCAGAGCAGTGGCACAGTTTTGAATTAAAACCCTTAATCAGCCACACTTTCTGGGGGCTGGTTTGGCTTGTGGAGCAGTTTCAGTGCCTGGGAATGTATCCTTSATCCTTCTGAACCAACAAAACCAGCAGCTCTTCTCCCATGCACTCAGCAATGTTAATGCATCCTGGGAGAATTCGTGAGCAGAGCAGAGCCAGCCACAGGTAAAACATTCAAAATCTGTGTCAGACACATCACTGCTTTCATCTGGTTCCTTCTGCACTGAACTGGTAATTTAGACACAGCCATTATTTCCATCCAACAGGATCACACTGGAACACAGATTTTCTTTTGTCTCTTCCATACTGAATTCAATTTTCACAAAAATCTGTAATCTGCCTTAATTTTTTTTCCCAGCCCTTCCRTTTTCTAATCTACTTTCAAATAAAATTAACTACTTTATCCATAATGCAGAGAAAGCACAATTGTTTCTAAGAATTCCTGTAGYTCTTGCATTGAACATCTCAGACCAACTTTTTAGAAGCCTGCACTAGGATCAACATGCAAGGTTTTTGGAAGGAAAATCTCAACCTGAATATTTTTGCATGGTTTTAGTAACATCAGGCATGGAACCACAGGCAGAAGGTTCTTTTTGCAAAGGAGTGTTCTTCTAACATGTATTTAGTTCTATCATTACAAGTCACTTGACAGTAAAATAGGTATTTTGCCAGTCTACCAACCAGAAATGCAACAGCAGTAATTGTTCTTTTAAATACTCAGAACAAAAGTAAAACAAAACTGCTTACAAATTAACCCTTTTGATCAACATTAACCAGATTATATACTGCAATAAGGAATGTTKAAAGAAATCCTTGACTCTGGACTASTCTAGGTAGCAGCASTGGCAGAGTAGTTACATACAGCCCTTACGTACTTGTAAAATCTTATTTTAAGATAAGAAATTCTATTAACAGTTCATAGCACTAATATTTTATTACTATAGCAACTATTTAAGAGAATTATTGACAGAATATATAACTGTTCCCCACAACTGCTTGAAGGGAGGTTGTAGCAAGGTTGGGTCAGTCTCCTCTGCCAGCTACCAAGTGACAAGGCCAGAGGAAATGGCCTCGAGTCACACTGAGGGAGGTTTAGCTTGGATACCAGGAAACATTTCTTCACCAAATGGGTTGTCAAGCATTGGAACAGGCTACCCAGGGCAGTGGTGGAGTCACCACAGACACACAGATGTGGCACTTGGGGACAGAGCTCAGTGGTGGACTCAGCACTTGTGGTTGGACTTGATAACCTTACAGCTCTTTTCCAACCTCAGTGATTCTAAGGAGATTGTACCTACAGCAAAAGAAAAGGTACTGTCTCCTCCTGCCAGAGCTGCAAGTCTTATTTTTCACTRGGCAAGGAAAACCAAAGAGGCTGTGCAGGACAATGAAAGCTGAAACTTCAGGTGGGACTGACCCTGAAAGGGGAGACTCGCTTGAGGACAGAGTCTGAACAGCTCTGCCAGAAAGTAATTTATCCTTACACCTGCCTTTAAAACAAACTAACAAAAACCCCACCACTGGTTCAGTTGTCTTGAGATACTTAAGCACACAGCACAAAATTGGCAGAATGGTGCAGACCTACAGTTCCTACAGAATAACCAGGACTCTTAGACTAGAGCCGGCAGCAAGCAGAGAATGCTTAAGTCTGGGTGAAAACAAAAACTATTCAGATATACACTCTTAAAACCCATCCATTAACAAATAACTAACTAGCCTGGGTAAACACCACATTAATTTAGAGAAAACTACAGATGTGCAACTCCAAAATTTAAGAAAAGGCAAAGGAAGCACTTTAATAATCCTCTTATTTGGAAAGAAGTAAATGTAAAACTAGAACTTCCTTGTTTCATGCATCTGAAATCATTAAAAAGAACTTCCAAAGCCATGATGACCATGATACTTGGTAAAGCTACAGTATTCTTAAAATTATGAAAGTTGCAGCCATGTCCCCATTTTAAAAACTACATGTTGTGAATTAAAATTCACAAGTCCTTTTTCAAACTGCGCCAAGAAATATCTATTAATCACATGCTAGCTTCTCTATTTTCAGGCAATTACACATGCCAATCACATCCAAATCAATGTGGTGAGTTGAGGTTTTTTTGGTCTGGTTCTATATATGGTAATTTTTAARCTAGCTATATGCCATACCTGAAGTTCCCCAGCAGGCTGGGGAAGAAAAAGACTCCAGAACAAACCAAGAGTCAGGAGATCTTCCAAACGATCTTATGCAATTATTTCTGCCAAGTTTATGTTTAGTCTTGACTTAGTATCACCTAATAAAAGCTCTCCTTTGACCCTGCATTTCTCAAAATTAAGCAAAGAGCAGTAACAGGATGCCAGGAATAGCACAAAAAGCAGCTCTTCCCCTCTCTTATTTCATAAGCTGAAAAAAATTTCATGCCAAATGAAATACAAACCACAGGTTGGAAAGCACTGTTTTAGTTGTTTTTCTTTTCCTAATATATTTTTAAAGATGACTTTTCTTGCACCCTTTGCTTTGTTGCCCTAGATATCCTGTACTCTCCTAGGCTTATTTTCCCTCAGAAGTGGCCATTACCTTCTAATTTTCAGGATTATCCAGGSAGAGTAGAAGGAGAAGCAACACAGAACCTTTTCCCATGACAGTGACTTTAGAAAGGAAGTCTGTTCACAAACATCCCACTGTGAAAAGCTCCTCCATTCCAACCTTGTTTCCCATTCCCAGAGCTTGACTGATTCATTTGATACCATCTTTTCTWACCTACACTCATGTTTAGAGGCTAGAGATTGTATTTACATGCCACAGAACATTTGTTTCTTTGCCCAGCTGCAAAGAGCAAGTTCCCCCATGTTTACATCACTCAGATAACTCAACAGGAACCTGTAACAACCTGTGGAACTGCATTCTGGAACAGAGAACGTGGGTCCAGACAACTCAGACTTCCCTTTAAAACCAGTGTCCAACCACATCATCTGTGTTTCACTGAGCCCTGAGTGGTCTGCAATGCAGCTTGGAGTAAAAACACTGCAAAAAAACCAATTTTTATATTCCCATACCTTTTAATTTTTATYATGAATCTCTTGTCAGCACTTGGCAGTCATACTTTCTCACTCAAATGAACAGCTTAATTTTTTTTCCCCAAAAGCTGTATTAAAATATCACAAAAAGGTTTCTCTGTCACATATGCATTCTCTTAATCACAGAATATTAATATATAGGGTTYCACCTACTAAAAGGTGTAAGAAAGATTTATTATCAGAGCTCTACTTTCTGATGCATCYTACTATGAGAAATGAAAAGAGGACAACTCAGTTTGGCATTTGAGCTGCTTGCTGAGCTTGTAACTTGGCTATAAACAGAGTATTTTGTATAACCAGAAAAAAATTAATACTGAACACTTGTTTTTACCAGCACCAGGGTTTCTCACACRCTGCACAGTATGATTCAGTTATACTGATATGAATTTTGAGAGACTGACAGGTTAAATGCCCTGAGTGTCAACTCAAAGAAAATTAAAAAGTATTTTAAATGGCAGTGTCAAGGACTAACAGGCATAACTGTTCAAACCAGTCTCCAGACAAACCTCTCTTCAACAGAATAAACATCACCTATGCAAACACAAACTCTTACTTTGCAACATTTGTTCAGCACTCCCAAGATCACAAACACCATACGTAAATCATAACAAAAGCAGAACATTCTATTCAAACTGAGTMTCGAATATGTCTTACCAGTAGAGAGGAATTAGAAGAGACTGTCAAGTGTGACCAACTCTCATCAATAATGACTCACAGCAACCAGGATTTTTCCTTAGAAGCTGGGCAATTTATCAGTTGAACTAATATCTGCAGTTGAACTTYAAACTTGCTATAAGGGTGCTTTTTCACAGTCCTCAATTAATAATACTGGATTGACTTATGAGTTAACTTATTCCTTAGAAAATCCRCATCTTTGACTAGCTGTCCATTTATACAGAAGGATGTACAAGATCAATCATCTTTTCTTGTTTCAGCACAGCTGAAAGTATCTAGAATGTCTAACAGTATCAGCAATAATGTCCAACTGTGCTTAGAAACTACAGTAAAAGTCARCTGCAAGAAYAGCTKGGAACTAGGATCTCTTCAAGTCATCTGACARACCTCTGTCACCAACATTAGGTAGTAAAGAAACTTCATACGTGTTTCACTCACACACTTGTACATGCCTGCAGAATTAGGTACAATCTGTGCTTGCAAATTAAACCCACCCTTACCCCCAACAGCAGGATTAGCTGTTTTACCAGAAGGAAAGGAAACATCAGTCAAGCAGAACATGTATTTACTGCCCTAAGGCATAGCTGAAGGCATGGGTGGGGGAAGGGATGCTACTGAAAAGCTTATGCCATCAATTATTCCCCACAGATGGGATTAGATTRCATGGCTAGAGATCATGCTCCACAGCAAATATCCAGGGAAACTGCCATCTTAGCATGCWTTAGGGGCAAGGCAGGCGTTATTCTGAGCAAGCCACAGTGTCTGCAAGCTCAAAACACAGAAATAAAATATTGAAGAATAAAAATAAAGGAAGTCCATAGGTTTTCATTTGGTTTMATTTTCTTGTTTCCTTTCATTTGCTGGAGTTCCCTCTACAAGCTAACATAGTTCAAGCTGAATCAAGTCTCTGAACAAATTATGGAAATGCAGAAAAGACTGTAGGAGCAGGATTCTTAAGGCAAACTAGAAAYACAAGTGCTCTGATGTCTGAAATTATCTTCTCAGCAAGATACATCACAGACTGTAAGGATATCCTSTCACTTCAAGACTTGCAACAAATTCAGAAAATTGAATTCAACATAAGCTACAAACAAAAAAAAAACTATCAGGGGGAAAAGCCCACATTYGTTCCACTTGGTATTTCCCTCACATCCAACTCCTTGACAGTGCAGACCACCAGAGGTGCTGCTGCTTAACTGCTTCCTAGGCAAGTTCTAGAAGACTTCATGAAAATTATGGGTTTTTTTTTTTTAAGTTCATTTCCATTCTATTACTTACTGAATTTMATAAAGCAAGTTATAAAGTCCTATATGGAGAGAATAACCTTAAAAAATTCTACCCCAAAAACTGCATGCCAGCAAACCTGGCAAATTATATTTCCCTGAAGTGAAGACTTTGTCAGGCAGGACAAGTTATCTTGACCTATGCAGCATCTTGAATGGATTTCAGAAATAATTATGTCAAAATAGGCAGAGTAGAACACTTCCCTTGCACTTTCCAACTCCTTAAAGCCTTCAAATCTATTCTTGGATGATTTCCAAATATTGCCTCTCTTTCAAAAACTAGATTCTTCCCCCAGAAGGAAAAAAATGAACCCAAAAAAGAGAAACCTCTTGGAGAAAAAAAATTATCAGCAGAATATTTATGAACAGTGAGGGAATTAAAATAGTTTTCAAGCATACATACAACAGGCCCCACTGGCTTTCCAAATACTCATTATATCCGAAGCAAAGGAGGATTACAAATTGAACCAAGCTAAGCACAGCATATTTACGTAAAGACAATAAACCCTTAAAAAAATTCCTCTTGATCTCATCAGTTAAACAATGGAGAACAAAACCACAGATTGTTAAGCAAAGCTAAAAATGTTTTAGCATCTATTTAGGYTGAGGACTCTTCCTTCTCATCAATAATAGAAGAGCAGTCATACTGAATGCCTTGGAGAACTAAATTTAACCACCAAGATGGTTCTTTCACCCACAAGGTGCAAGGATTTCCCAGTGCAGTCAATGACAGTTTTATATATATACAWATATACCTTTATGGAGAACTCATTCTTGAAAATGTTGACACATCTAATCTTGTCTCTGCTTTCACATGACTTTTTTCACCTCTGGTCAGATATGCTTTGCAATGAATGAGACAGAAGAAAGCAACAGCACCTATACAAAGTACTCCAAATTTTCTCCATTCCCAGAATTATRCCATACTRAGATGATTSACCAGTCTTTCAAGCAGTTACTCAAGACTGTGAGTAAAAGGCATTATCCTTTGCAGTATATCCACTAGGTTTCAAGATTTCTATTAAGTATCTGYRTTTCTTTGTAATTCGTGTGATCATACCTGAATTTTTAAACAATAATTGGAACTTAGTAGGTACAAGCCATTCTCAAGTGCTTTGGAACTTCTCCTCTTCAAGTAACATTTGTCTCCTATAAAATTAACTGCTYCTAATAATCACTGCACATTTCCTACTATTACATACAGATCAAAAGAAAGCTCTTTCAATTAGGCCTTTCACAAAACTTATTTCAGAAATGCTCTAAGAGCAGCAAATATATARCATTTTGTTCAGCCCACACAGGGAGCAACCTCCCCTGCACTTCAAGGAGTCTTATAGAAGTTTTCTCTCAAAATTAAACTATGTCTGGATTTTTCAAATTATTAACATATACTGTTCGGTCACTTCTTCTGTGCTATTGCACTTTGAAGTCTTCACTAAAGAAAGAGAAAATCCAGCACTCACAGACCTGTTAGMAATGCAAATCAGTCATGTCTAAAAAAGCTGACACCACCTCACTCATTTCAATTAAAAGTCAGCAAAAGTTTTTTAGTTCTCTTACTATGTATCCTGCAAATCAATAGTTGTCCCAAGATAACTTGGGAGTTATAAATTATTACAGCAACTGTTGATACATGTGTGCCTGTGTCCAGCTGCACACTCATGCTTGCCTTTATCTCTATTGCCAATGACCTCCCAGCCTGGGGCTCCAAATCTCAACCATTCTTGCCATGGYTTCCCCCAGGTGCAGAAAACACCAGGATGTTACAGAGTGAAAACATCCAGAAATGTTCTAACCACTAACATCGAGTTGATTTTGACACTGGGCAACACACTGAGTCTTTTCACAGCTGCAGAGAAAACGAAAACCACAACTGAATTCATTTGAGCAGGTAACACATTTTTAGTCTCATTAGTCTGTGTTCTCATTTCTAAGCCATTGCCAAAGACTCTTGGTTGCCATTTTATCACCAGCAAGGGTACGAGAAAAAGAGAGCTTTGTGACTAATTCCAGGGCAAGAAAGAGATCCTGCTGCTCAAACAGAACAGAAATAAAATGGAAAGGTGATTYGTGTACCCTGCCATCCTTGTCAGACAATTGACATCAACAGTTCTCAAAAGCTGARGAATTGCAAAGTGGGGTATTCTGAGGATCAGAATCAAAGCRATGATTGACAGAAATATGCAACACTTCTGCTTTTCCATGACAGACCAACATTTAAGAAAAACACCATTCCTTTCAGAGCACAGCTTATCTTTTCATCTTCAAGTCAAAAACCACTACAGTGTCAGGTATAATAAATCCTTATRCCTCAAACCACATAAGAAAGCCAGTTGGAGCTGCTTTAAATTAAAAGTGCACCATGTATTTTGGTTCATTTTCCCTGACCACACACGAGGAAGCAGCAATCACCATGAACTCAGGAAAGATGGGGTGGAGGACAACCCCCAAAGGAAGCAGCTACAGCCAAGCATTAAACAAATACTGTTTGCCTTCATCTGCTGCAGAGGACACATGGCACTGGGGCTCTGGAGGGAGATGCATAGGAAGAAAGGGAGAATCTGCAACCAAAAATTGTATTTAGGGAATATAATACAGAGCTCTAGTTTTAAACTAAGCCTTCAAAGTAAGGCAGTGGGCTGGGGGAAAGTCAAAGTTGAACAAAGTATCTACGCCATCAATAAATCCAGAGCAGCCCAAGAACCACACTGCTCTTAGTTAATTTTAAACAATATAGAATCAACTTGCTACACTTCAGGTTGGTTTGGGTTTGTTTGGGGATTTTTTTCCTGTATCTGGGTAGTTACAGTAACTAGGATTCTAGATATGTTAAAAAAACCCATCTCTCTCATTAACCTAAGTTCATTACACTACACCTCAATGAAGGCACTTTAAGAGAAGTTCAGGAAAAAAATATATTTTTCCACTCTCTCCAGAGCCAGCAATACTTATTTTTAATAAGTATTTTCTCCAGGACACCATTAGGAGTAACTTAATCAGGAGTTYGTTTGAAGTAAAGAATGAACCAGTGTGCCAAGTATTCATCCCAAACTTCAAGCTTTCCTACATATTTCATACATCACAAGTCTTGGTTTCTTCTGGCAACAGGGAAGAAAGGCAGGCCTAGCCTGTTTCCAGGTTTCATCTATCCTTTAAGCTTAGACAGTCCAACTATTTTGAACATCTCTGGCTAATCATATTCCTTAGAAGCTGGTAGACAGCAAAAGTGTGTTTACAGATTCCATAACACAAATGGGACACTCTGGAAACAGACACTTKTGTGACCTTCAGTCCAACAGAGCCAAAAATAATCTCTGTCTGGAATAACCATAACCAAAGTAATTTCCCTACCCAGAGATCCATGCTTTCCTCTGACAGTTCCCCTTAATAGACTTTTCAGATACAACAGCTCATAAACAGCACCCACCTGACAGCAGACACAAGCTGTTAACATGGGGACTATATCAGATCAMCTTTCATGTCACATTCAGAAGCKTCMACAATATAACCAGTACACAGCATGTATGACCCAAGAGTGAACCCAGGGARGATACTTTGAAGTATGCATCAATTTGCATCCCTTATCTACTGGGAGTGGTGTCACAGTGACAACCATTTTGGTTAAGMAATAATTCATGAGGTCTCTAAAGAAACCACTTGCCTTGGAGATCAATTCATCGTGATTGGCGAGATGGGCTCTGCAGTGGATACAGCTGTAGGTTCGATGACAGTTTGGCAGGTAAGCCTGGAACGTTTTTGATTTTGTCATTTTTACCATCTCTGCTGGTGGCTCCTCACTCAGCTCAGGGCTGGCACTTGAAGAATTACAACTTTGCTGAACTCGCTGACAAAAGAAACACTGGAATATGCAAGCAAAAGCCGTTGTTGTTCTGGAGTGTGTGTGGCACTTTCCACACAAATGACAGAAGAGAAACAGTCACAACCTGTAGGTGAAAAGAGCAGAACAATTAGCAGCTTACAACAAGACCAGAGTTAACTTGTTATTCAACAAGTCCAGCCATAAAGCAAAGCGTTATTTGGAGCAAATGCCTGGCTGCACTACAGGCCCCTTTCTCYAAGGAGCTGCGCAGTTCAAGTTCCATTCAACACAGCAAAAAGCAGTTCTGTTCCACTAATGGCTTCTACTCCATCACACTTCTAATGAGGGATGAGATTCAAACACTTCTCCATGAAACACAAGCACTTTCTACATTATACTAAGTGTACTCTTTGACACATCCATGCAGAAAATCRCAGTAAAAAGGTAAGGAATGAGAGGAAGTTAATTGTCTTTGAAGTTCTAGTGGTCAGTTCCAATATAGCAAGCAACAAGGCATCTTGGAAAACACTTGCCCTGTCCTACAGTAAATATATATTTCCACTTCAGTTTTCAGCAAGGATCTTGCAGTATCACATCTGGCTTTAGGTCAAATACCAAGTAAGATGCTGCCACCCCATTCAGGGACCYGTGTCTACTCCTCTTTCAAGCTCTGCAGAATTATGCCTTTAGGCAAAGACCTTCTCGACTGGTGTCCTGATCAAAGCTAATTAGGTACTTCCTCACTGTACCAGAATAGCATTAATGCAAGCTACCAAACCCACAATCTGATACTGAAGCTAAATTCTGCCCAGAGAACACCCAACTGATCCTTAATCCTCAGAGTGCTTTCCAGAGACATTTCATGTCAGAGCACGCCAGACCCTCCCGCTCTGCTGGAAAGCAAAGCTTTTYAGTTTGCCTGAAAACCCAACAGATTGGAAGCAGTGATAACATCTACTGGTGTGTCAGAGGCCAGCAGTTCCCAGGCTGTATAAGCACCGTGCTAAAAGCACTCCAAACCCTGCACAGTCACTTATGTCACCGGCTGTCAGGTGACTGSCAGAGTAGGTCAATAGCACAAACAGGAATGAGAGACAATACAAGGAATTTACAGTATGTTGATCCAGCTGAGAGCATGCAAATAACTTATCACACTTGTAAATCGTGTGCAGGGCAGCACTAACCATACTTGGAGCAGTAGGATACTGGTAATGCAGCTAGGGCAGATAATGRAAGCCACATGAATTAAAGACTGTTTATAGGAAAGCAGGCACTGTGCTTCAAAAGCCTTGAGAACGCAATTATACAGGAGGCCTAGCACATGAGACAACCAGAGCAAAACTTGAAGGGTTTTCGTTTGGATATTTTTGTTAATCCTTAGCAGAAGAGAAAAAAAAAAAAACTCGAACTACTGAAGGACTTACTACAAAAAAAAAAATTCACACGAAAAACTGCAAAGGCAGAGGAAAGCCACAAGCAAGACATACAACACAACATAGGCAATCAAAAAAAAAGCAACAATGGGAACAAGCTGCTGTTCAAAGCATAGATCTACACATGAGAATGACTGGGAAAACATTTGATAAGGGATAAATTTATATGTTCAAAGTATTAACCCATTTGGCATGAGGAGCAGAACTTAGATATTAATAGTAATTTCAACAAATATTATATACTTAGTGTCCCAAGATAATTCAATTACAACTGCACAGGGAAGAATAACATTATTTGTGAAAAACACTAGTAGAACAGCTAGATAGGAAGCCACATTTACTAGAAGCAAAATGGTTTGACTTTGACTTATATTAAACCTCTTCCATTAATAATTGAAACAAGTTCAGTCCTTGCAAAAGTTCAGTAGGTGTAGATGTGGCACTTGGGAATGTGGTGACTACTGGTGGCCTTAGCAGTCCTGGGTTAATGGCTGCACTCAATGATCTTACAGATCTTTTCTAACCTTAACAACTCTGTGATTTTGAACGTAAAAGGAAAATGTTTTTTTGTTTTTTTTTTTCAAGGCATTCCTGGAAGTGTTTTTAATTCACACTTCTCAATCTGGACTCTTCCAGACTCAATGTACAAAGCTTTTCCACTACAGAAGTTAWAAGAATTCCAAAGCTCGTTTGACAAAACTGTATTTGATATTGCTCGGTTCAAAACGACAACTCCAAGTGTTTGATATACACCATAGGAACTGGAGACTTGTTGTGCCGTTAAAGGCACAATTCAAAACAAACCATTTCCTAGCTCACTCTAACAGTGGTGAATAAATCCAGTCTCACTTCCCTCTCACAGTTATGAGCAGTTCCTCGGGCTGCTGCTCATTATTCCGCACACAACACACTAAAAACCCGAACCAACCCCGTCCTTCTCGCTCCTCGGCCACGGCACAGCCCGTGCTKTGGTCCTGCGCAAGGACAGGTGTGTGTGCTGAAGCTCAAGCTGTGTCCGCACCTACCCGTCCATCGCGCAGGGCTGTGTTAACCGCAGGAGCACCGGCCCTACTCCCCGGGACAGCTCCAGCCCGGGCCCCGCTCCCCGGGACAGCTCCAGCCCCGCTGCCCCGGACAGCCCCGGCCCCGCTGCCGGTGCAGCCCCCGCGTCCCCCGGGGTGGGCGAGGCGCGGCCCCGTCCCGCCGCCCGTGACGTCACCGGGGCGGGGCGCGGGGCGGCCAATGGGGCGGGGGGGCGGCCCCGCCCCGCGCGGGTCCCGGATGTGTAAACAAACACCCCGATCAGCGTGGCGGGGGGGCGGCCCCGCACGGGCCCCGCTCCCCGGGCCGGACACCGCCGGGGACACCGCTGGGGACACCGCTGGGGACACACCGGCTGCTCGCCGCGCGTGGGGACCCCGTGCGCGGGGCGGGAGGACATGTGTCAGGAATCGGCTTCGCCGTCGTTACTTCTCCATTCCCTTCTCCCGGGGCTCCGGGAAAGGAGGGACATGAAATATGCTTAGCGTSTCTGGCAGCTGCACAAAGCCGGACAGTCTGTGCACGCGCTCTCTATAGCCTGCGGTGAGCTCACTCCAGCAAGGAAAAAACTCCGAGTTAAAGACTGAGCCACAAGAGCCTCATTTTCACCTTTACATACCGGGAAATAACACGAGAAAAGGAGCGCAGAGAAAGTTATGGGCTGACACTCCGCTCCCCCCGCCGGGAGGAAGCCGCTGGCCGTGCGCCTTTGAGCCCTTTCCTCTCTCAGGCCGGAGCACGAAGCTGCCGCGGCCGGTGACGCCGTGGCCTTTTCTCTCTCCCCCCGCAGCGACTCCCGCAGGACAGCGGCTCGTTATCCCCCGTCTGCCCGCCGGCACAGCCGCGCGGCCACCAGAACACGGCCCCGCGCCGCTCCCGCTGCCGGCTCCGTGCAGGGACCCACCGCGCCCGGCCCCGCGCGGGGCGAGCGAGAGCGCAGGGGGGACCCACCGGCCCCAGCTCRCCGAGCTCAGCCTCGCCCCCCCTCAATTATGTAAACCGCCCTTACCCGCCCCGCACCGAGGAGGCTGCGGGCAGACAGCGCTGCCGTCATTTCCAGGCGCTATAAATAGCGCCCGAGCCTCCTCCCGCCAGCAAAGTTGCCTCGGCGGCCCCGCGCACACGGGAGAGCGCGGACCCCCGGCCGGGGCGCAGCACGGGACTCCTCTCGCAGCCGCCTTTCGTCCGTCCGTCCCCCTCCCCCCGAAAAAAAAAAAAAATTAATAATCCCAGCACAGGGAAGAGGGGCCACTTCTTGCCCCCTCGGTACTCACCGCTGCGCCGCGCCGACTCCGCTCCCAGCCCGGGCTCCGAGCAGCCCCCGGGCCCCTCTCCCTTAGGGGGCACGGGCAGGAGGGGAGGCGGGACCCCCGGTCCTCGCGCGGCGGGCAGCGAGAGCTCCGCGYCGGGCCCTCACCGAAAAACAAAGAGTGGGATATTGGCGGGGGGAGGGACACGACGGCTTCCCTCGCCTCGAAGGTACCGTCTCGGCGGCGGCCGCCGGAGGGTCATAGACGGGGGCCGGGCGCGCGTGTGCCGCGCTGAGGGCCGAGGGGCGGCCGAGGCATCGTGCCGTGCCCGTGCCGTGCGCTCCGCCCGGGCTCCCGCTCCCGCCGCCGCCGCCGCCTTTGTTTTGCTTTGCCCCGGCCCGGGGGCGCAGCGGCCGTTAAACGCGCTCCCCCCGCCGCCGCCAGCCAATCGCCGCGCGCCCTCGTGCCCGCGCGCGCGCGCCCTCCGCGCCCGGCCCCGCCTCTCCCGGGCTGGGGGCGGGCAGCAGCGGCGCGCGCCCCGCCCCTCCCTCGGCCCGGCCGTGCGGAGGAGGGAACGGCTCGGAGCGAGGGGGGGGGGCGGGGCCGGGGCGCGCGCGGGGGGTGTGTCGGGGGCGTTGGCTCCGCCCCGTTCGGCCCCGCCCCTCGCCGGCCGTTGTGCGCGCGCGTGGCGCTGGGCGCGTGCCGCGAGCGCCCCCCTCCCCTGAGCGCCCCCCGGCGGGAAACGGGCGGCGCGCGCTGCCTGAGGGCTGAGGCGGGCCCGGCCCTGAGGGGAGAGCGGCGGGACGGAGCGGCAGCGGGAGCGGAGCCAACAACAGGTAAAACCCCTGGCGAAACAGCCCGCTCGCTTTAGGCTTTCATCGCCGGCTGCGCCTTCCACGTCAAGCCGCTAAACTCGGCAATGTCGGATTACTCAGAGTTTGTTTTCACACCAGAAAGTATTWGTCCTCCGCGTTTCTCCGGGAATTAGGTAAAACCCTAGGACGTGGTATTGGTTTGGTAATATTTGAGTGCTGTAGAAAAAAACATGAAGGAAAAAAARGCCAGTTGGAGGCTGAAAGTAGGATCCGTTGGAGCACTTCTTAATTCCAGAGAGTTTGGGAAAAGCTCATTGCTTATAAAGAAAAAATACACAGATTTTATGGTGTAAAAGAACAMTTTTCAACATTAGGAAACCAAAACACAACTCACATGCAAGTAGTTTCCCAAGTATTTGAGGTCTGTTGGCAATGATTGTGTTTTTTCTTTAAAAAGTCAATAAAAGCCAGCCCCTGGTTTATTTTGGCTGTACCCTTCTATTTCCACGGACAAAGTGTGTAGGGACATCAATTGCTGAAGCCCGTGACGAAGTTGTCATTTACACTGTACCCCCAGG